AAAAAAAAAAAACCCAAACCAAACCAAACCAAAAACTATATATTTAATTTTATTGTTTTTTCATTACCGGGCAAAAAAAATTAATTAAAAAAAAAGTTAAATCTGGGAAGTCATCAAGTTCACAAGCTCAAAGCAACTATTTAATTAGTATTTCTACACCCTGGTGTTCAACTTCCTCCTTGGCAGGAATAGACTATTTTGCTGGAAAAGTCATCCTGTGCAGGAATATCACCAGCTGCTTCTGGCCAGTTAAGCATCTCCCACAGAAAATGACTCTGCGCTTCTCCAAGTAGTGAGCGCACAGAGTAGCCTGAGGTCATTCAGGAAGCTAGCTTCAGTTTTGTTTGTCAATAGCTGGAGCCAAGATGCTTAATCTCACCTCATTCTTCCTTTCACCCTGCAGGGAAGTAGCCAGGCAAGAAGGATGTTGTTTTCAAAGAAGGCAATCCCTAGATGCCTTGGCATCTATGTATGCTTGATTATTCAACCCAAAACCATTTCTTCTAGAACAAGGAGTCTAACGGTGCTGGAACTGTAGTAAATTTCAAGCCTTAGTTCTATTAGCTGGAGATAAATGCATGGAGCAGAACAGACTATACAGGACTATATGTGGCCCTCTTTAAAGCAAAAGATACAAAATTGCAAATAGGAGCTACTTCAGAAAAGGGAATGTTGTTTAGAATAAGAAAAGAAACCCCTTGAAGATTTAAGAAACCAGAGGACATACCTTTTAAATAGTGCAAACAAACGCCAGAAAAACACTCTATTAATTAACTTCCTGGCAAAGCCTGTAATGCTCTCTCTTTTCAAATTTAGGATGGTATATTCTTTTCTTGTTTTTCGTATTTCATAATGTCATTTTATCTAGAGAGAATTGAAATACAGTTTAACGTATCTTTTAGTATGGCTGAGGTAGGCTAGGTAAAGCATGCAGTTTGCACAGAGAAACACTTGCTGATTGTGAGTTGTTAGTTTCTCTACTGCAAATGCAGGGATTATTTATGTGTTGGTGTGTGTTTGTGTCCTGGAGATGATGCTAAAGCCAAACATATGGTGGGGAGTGTTCGACCCCTGGCGATCTAACAAATCTCATCTTATTTGATTCCTATAAAAAAATAAATGTGGCATGATCGGGTGTTCTTGAGAACTAAATTCTAGTTTTTAACTTATGATGACTGTGGAAGTTTGCCTCAGAGCAACCCCTGGCTCTGTGCATTTCTGCCTGTCTCCTAGGAGCTCAGTATCATCATAGCACATGGTTAGTTTCCAGTGGCTGCTGCCTGTCCTTGTGCTGAGACCTGCGTGGTTTTGCCCAATGGGAGTGCATTCTGAGATGCCTGACCACAAAGCAGCCGTCGTAAAAGATAACTGCAAGTGGCTGAAACTCCGATGGTCCTGCATCTGAGGCTGCTTCCACTCATTCATTTTGTCTTCCTTAGAAGGGTCCGCTCCCAGCCACCCGGGGCCACCCAGTGGGAGGGTGGAATTAGGAAAGAGAGTGTGGTTTTCTCCGCTCACTACTTACAATAAATGTCTAGGTAATTAGCTCATAAATGCAGAAGATTTATTCTGCCTCATAGTTGCATGTGGCTGCTCAGTTGTGCTGCTTTGAGCTAGTGGTGAGGTGGCACAGCATGGGCTGAGAGCTGGGTGGGACAAAACCACTTACATAACATGGCCTGAGAGCAAATACATCAAGAGAGAGACTGGGGTCCCAGTACCATCTTCAAGGGCATGCCCTAATGACCCAACTTCCTTCCATGAGGCTCCTCCTACTAAAGGCCCATCTTCCAATTGTGCCACTCTGGGGACCACGCTTTTACTTAACACATGCACCTTCGATGGGTCCTGATTAGAACAGAAGGCCGGTCAAAGGAGAAAAATGGGTCAGTGGTTTTCACCAAGCGTGGTGGAAACATGTTACTTTCCAATATTACCAGAACATGTATACACGAGGCCAGGGCTGCTCCCAGGAAAGTGTGTGACCAGGCGAGGGTGCTGGAGTTTCAGGTTCCTGAGCTTGGTTCGTGGGCAAATCTGTCCATGTCTGGAAGGATGTAATTGCAAAGATGTAGGAAAACAAACAGGTGAGCGAGCAAATGGACTGTGAATGAAACAGCAATAGCAATGAAACTTCTGTGTATAAATTGTTCCAGAATGGGAAAGTGGTGCTAAGACAGTGTTGTGGAAGCACCTAGACTGTTCATACCACAATGACAGGGGGCTTAAGAAAAGATTTCCAGGTTTGTGCTAAAAACCCTGAGGTTGGAGTTATAGACCCTTACTGTATCCTTATTCGAGGAGCAGCTTGCCCTGGGGCAAATTTGCTGTGGGAATGAATTCAATTAAGTGAGGTTTTCCGAGTCATGATAAACAGACATGAACTCCAATCCACTGCCACCAAGAGCATCATCAGACCCAGGAAGAGAGTGGACATTTTACTTTCTCTCAAATCCCTTTGGATCAGTCCCATTCTGCTGCTGCTGCAATAAAACACCACCGCCAAAAGCAATTTATAAAAGTAAAAGTTTATTTGGGCTTGGAGGTTCCGGAGGGAAAATCTATAATGTTGTCAAGGAAAGCATGGCGTAGTGATGGAGCAGGAAGCTAGGTGATCATAGCTTTCATCCACATGTAGTAAGCAACTGAGAGTGAACAGGAAATGGGGTAAAGCTATGAAACTCCAAAGCCCATTCCCAGTGATGTACTTCCTCCAGCAAGGCTTTCCCTTCTAAAGGTTCCACAAACCTCCCAAGCAGCACTACCAATGGGGAGACCAACCGTTCAAATACACAAGACTCTGGGGCATTTTTCATTCAAACCACCACACTCTTGGAGCTCTGGCTCCAATTGGGAGAATTTGGTTAATAGTTAATAAATTGAAAGAAGCTGTGTGTGTGTGTGTGTGTGTGTGTGTGTGTGTGTGTGTGTGTGTGTGTTTCTAACTTTTCAGATTTATTTGAGAATAGTTATCAGACTTTATATTTATTTATTTTATTGATCGATTGATTGAGACAGGGTCTCACTATGTAGCCCTGGCTGGAGGGGAGATCCACCTGCCTCTGCCTCTTGAGTGCTGGGATTAAAGGAGTGTGACACCACACCCAGCATGCAGTGCATTCTGAGGATTCTAGATCCGTTTCTAGAGTCCAGGATTTCTAGATTGTGTTTCAGATAGAGAATGATGATTCCTCATTCTGTAGCCAGTATGACAAGATGTATAAATGCTCACAAAGTTCTTAAAATAATTTTAACCTGCACATCTTTTGTTGGGGGGGGGGGTTTGTCTTGGCTATGACAGAAATTAAAACAAGTGAATAGAAGCACAGACCTCCCATAGGCAGAGGAGCCAGAAACAAAGATTCAGGTTGCAATTCCTGGAGAAGAGTTTCTGTTTTCATGCTTTTTCCAGACAAGGGAGGAGGCTTCCAGTGTGCATGCGCCACTTTGCACACTGCTCAAAACACTCCTGTATTTTTGTTCTATCTCTCCCTTGGGGAGCTTTCCCTATGCTAATGTAGTATAACGAGGCATAAAGAGGATTCGGGCCAGTTCCCCGTCAGTTTCTTTGCTGCCTTGGTGGTGGCTGGTTCTGACCACAGCTCAGCTCCTCTGCTTGCTTGCTACAGTGCAGCTGCCTGCTTGTTTTCTGCTGGCTCCCTGTCTCATCGGAGCAGGAAGCTTGGCGCTTGCAGAATAAAAACAATGGGGATGCTTGCTGGCCATTTCTTAATGCACTTGTGAAGACTGACTGTCGCTGGCTCATTTCATGTTCTTTCCACCCAGCACACTCCTTGACAATAGCAATTAAGTGATTTACATTTGGCTCACAAGTGAAGGAGAAAATAGACAGAAGGATTTTGTTTAGCCATTGTCTAAGAAAAGGAACTGGGCCTTTGTCAGACATTATCTGCCCTGCACTTCCAGAACTGTGTTGGTGTTAAAATAAGGAGCTGGTCTTTTATTGCTGCTTACATACATGTTCTTCAAGTGACGGGTGAGGATGGTCAGGGTTCTAAGTCTGTGCTTGCTTCTTTCAGAGAAAAAAGCTCACCGTCACCAGCAGCATCACTGGAAAAAAGTACACCTTTGTCACCGACTCAGCCAAGACCTGTGAATACCTGCTGAGCCTGTGCTCTGCCCAGCACTGGTTTAATGCACAGATGAGCTCCGGGCAGCCTCCGCATCTTTTCAGTGGTGAGTATATACTGTATTAGCAACACACAAGCAGCCAGACTCGTGCTCTCATAAAATAATTTGTATGAAAAGATATAGTTGACACCCAAATAGCTGAAAAGTCTAAAATCATCACCAAACAATGGCAGAAACACAATAAAAATGAAGTATAGATTTTATTCTCAGCTAGATAAAAAGTGGAAATAACACTAGGAGGGAAAATTGATACAATCTTCCTAGAATGCAACTGGAGACTCCCCCGCCCCCTCTCTCCCTCCCTCTCCCTCTCCCCCTCCCCTTCTTCCCTTTCCCTCTCTCTCCCTCCCTCCCCCGTCCATCCATCTAACTTTGTGAAAGCTGAAAGGAGATCTAGATCCCTTTGAACTCACAATTTTACTGCAGACAGTTGTCCTGAGGTAATAAACACAGAAGTCGATGGTAAGTGGAACTGTCCATGGTACAGTGCTGAGTGAGTAGGGCAGGAGAGGAGACCTGAGTGCAGTGTTGTAATGGGACATCTCCATCCTTCAGAGCGGGTCGGGCACCAGCCAGGAGTACTACTGAGCAGTTATATCGTAACAGGAGCAACCTAGAAATTAAACCTGTCATTTTGCTTAAGTTTTAGTGATTTATGTTTAAATTTGAATGGATAGTTTATGTATATTCATGTAGTTAACATTCACATGTTATAAAACAAGAAATAATATAGAAATAAATATAGAAATAAACAAAATCAAAATATTTTTTAATTAATTTTTTCATATATTCTACATACCAGCCACAGTTTCCCCTCCCTTCTTCCCTCCCACTTCCTCCCCACACCTCCTATCTACCCCTACCCATCCACTCTTCCTCATTCTCCATCCAGGGACAGGCCTCCCATGGGAGTCAACAAAGCATGGCACATCAAGTTGAGGCAGGACCAACTGCAGCAAGACTGGGCGAGGCAACCCAGCATGGGGAACAGGTTCCCAAAAACCAGCTCAAGCACCACCAGCTCAAGCTCCCACCACTAGGATCCCCACAGACCAAGCCACACAGCTGTCACACACATGCAGACTCCACAGCTGTCGGTCTAGAGTCTGTGAGCTCCCACGAGCCAGGTCAGCTGTCTCTGTGGGTCCCCCTGTCATGACCTTGACCCCCCCCCCTGCCTTGTACAATCCCTCCTCCTTCTCTTCAACAGGACTCCCTGAGCTTGGCCCAGTGCTCGGCTGTGGGTCTCTGAATCTCTTCCATCAGTTACTGGATGAAGGTTCTCTGATGACAATTAGGGTAGTCACCAATCTGATTACAGGAGAAGGCCAGTTCGGGCACCCTCTGTACTATTGTTAAGAGTGTCAGCTGGGGTCATCCTTGTGAATTCCTCGGGGTTTCCCTAGTACCAGCAAAACCAAAATCTTACTACCTTAAGGAGTTATACATGCAAACATGGCTATTTTCTTCCTATTTCTCAGTATTAAACTTTACCAATGAGCGTATATTACTGATGTAATAAAGAGATTGATGGCTTAAGTGAGGCCATACAGTCACGTGGCACTAGTTAGTGTTTATTGAGCCCGTTCTGTGGAGCCACTGACTGCTCTTCTTATTCCTTTCCTTGTGATAATCACTTCAAAGACGACCACATTTTGAGGGCTGGAGAGATGACTCAGAGGTCAAGAGGACTGACTGCTCCTTCAGAGGACCTGGGTTTGATTCCCAGCACCCACATAGCAGCTCACAACTGTCTGTAACTCTAGTTTCAGGGGATCCCAAGCCCTCTTCTGACCTCTGAGGGCACCAGACATACATGTAGTAGACAGACATACATACAAGCAAAACACGCCTCCTGGCACACATAAAGATTTCATTTATGATCACAGCGTACACATTGTTTTCTCTAACTGTGCTAGTTAAGTCAGTCCATGAGGCTAGACCTGCATTACTGTGAGGGGTAAACGAGGCGTGAAGCGAAGCCATGTGCCAGCTGCCTGGTGGTGAGGTCGATCATTAAACCCGGAGCCCAGAGCCTATTTGCGTCATCCCCCTGCCTCTGCCTTTCACCATTCATCAAGCATAGCCTTTAGTGGCTGAGACTTTGCTTGAGTGCCGACCTCATCATGGTTGCCTTTGGCATCTAAGCGTATTTCTATTCCTATTTATAAAAGGGAAAAATTAGCTACAATGATGCCCTGAACACCTCTGAGATGATAGGGATGTGGAAACTCAGGACCTGCCCCACATCTATTGAACTAGAATGCACATGTGCAAAAGAACCTATGGATTCCAACACAAGTACAAGGCAGTGCAGCCTTGGCTGAGGAGGCGGCCTGAAGAGTCCCTGAGACTCAGCTGAGTGCCACCTAGCAGCGGCACGGCTTTGGGTCGCTCACCTCCCCTCTCTCTGAGTCTTGGTGTCCTCACGAGAGCACACTGACCATCTCAGGTCTGTGCTGTGCTCCAGTGCGGTAGCACATCACATTTCCAGCTGCCTGCCCAGTGCTCAGTGTACTGTGACAATGACGACAGCAGCCTCTACCTCTGGATTTTGTTTCTGTTCCAGTCAGTATACACAGAGGTCTGGACACTGGGCTTTCAGGGGCCAGTCCATGGTCTAAATGAACTGGAGAACAGGATCAGAGTTTTCAGAAGCAGAACCAAACACAGGGACTAAAAGTAACTCAGGGTCTGTAACAGAACAAACCCGTGACTATGTCTCTGAAACCATGGACTGGCTGGTTTCAGATCTCTAGGGATCTAAGATGATAAATGCAAATTAATTGTGCCTGACTTTCCTGCTGTTGCTGAGATACTGTGTGTGAAACACTACCAATACTGTTTTCATTGCCTGATTTCAGTGACTGTAAAATATTTATGTGGACTTTTTGAGCTCACTTGTGAAATTGGTCCTTCCAGGCCTATTTCGCTCCTAATACACTATTTTCTCAAACATCAAATTCTGTCATATATAGTAGTTTCCAGGACTCTAACATTTTATTTACATTAAAATGACTCACTTAACCAATCCCCTTTTGCCTTTTAAGAATCTCTTTGAGAAATTCTCTGCAGATACCATTCTCCACCCACCCCA